GAGCTCGCCGCTGACCCGACCTTGTCGTCGCGGGCCTCGGCCGCCCAGGAACGTGAACGTGATGATGGCGCCCGGACACACCCTCCGCCGGCCGTGGGTCTCCGTCGTGGCCGTGCGGCCGCAGTCACAACAATGGGCGGGTGTGACCACGAGGAGGCGCAGGACCATAGAGAGGAGGCTCACTCCACCACACACCGGAGGCTGCACCCGCGACCAGGCGCTGCAAGTCGTGAGGCTGCACAAAGTGGGCACGTGACCGCTGCGGCGGCTTCTGCTGCTCGTCGTCACTCGCCGCGTGTGTGTCCGGAGGACGGTGTGCGAAAGCAAAAGAGGGGAGGTCGCACAACGTCTTTTTTAACGGCGTCCAAATTAAAAATCTCCTGCCACGCCGATTCTAAACTAATTACTATATCTGTAACGTCCTTGCAGTGGGCCTGAGCGAAAACGGACGCTAAAGGGACCTAAAAGGTTGCAGCTGCAACCGCACACGTTTACATGAACCGGAGCATAAAAGGGGCGCCGTATTATTTTAAAAAAAAAACAAACCCAGAACGCCTCATCGAGCGCCCCGCTGGTGCTGGAAAACCCTCTCTTTACCCTCTGGTAGAGACAGTCTTGGGGACTGTCTAAAAATTACGAGCGTGAAAATAAAATTATGTCATTGTCATTATCGTGGATGCTGTTATTGTTTGTGATAGGCAGCGACCACTTCCGGCGCCGAGTGTGTATGATGCTTGATTGCATCTGGAGCGCAAGGACGAGGAAGTGGATCATCTGCTCCAGAGAGCGAAGAGTCCTCCTCGAGGTCCTCCTCCTGACCACCGGCGGCGGAAGGTCGGATGGGCGCGGGTTGCTCGGCGCGCGCTGCGGGTCACGTCCCGGTGGAGGTGGTGCAGGCCGCGTGGCGGCCTGGGCTGGGCAGTGGTCGTTGATTCAATAAAAGCTTTTTGCTCTCGAGTCTGAACTTTGCACCATGAGCGTCGCAGAGCGGTCGAGCACAAACCCTGTCGTCCGTGAGAGATGTAAGGGAGCGTGTGCGTGCACCCCCCCCCCCCCGTTTTTCGCCGTTACGAAACTGCCCAGTTCAGCCAATAGCCAATGATGGAAGCTGCCCTAGCGCCTGATCGGTAGGCAACATCTCGCCTGCAGTGCACGCGTGCACTGTTGGGTGGCCTACCCTGGTTTTCGCAGGCGCCGACCTATACTTTGCCGAACGAATGTGAGAAAAGCGGACGTAATTTCTGGACGATCGCACCTTATATAGGACCGATGTGCTGTTTCACACAAATGCGCGCGCGCGCGCGCACGCACACACACACACACAGCGAGCAGGAGCAACGCCGCTCCATTTCTTCCAGACGGTGTGTATGACGGTGATGGTGAGGACGACCCTGATGTTGATGACGGCTCACCCAGTCGTCGCCACCGGCCTTCCGACGAGCGGGTGGCATGGAGGAGGTAGCAGGTAGCAGGTAGCTCTCGGTGCACACTTAATCCTCAACCCCTGACCAGGAACTCTAACGTGTGTATTTTTATTGATGCTCATATTACTACTGTCGACTTCTGTCATTTTTTTTTCTGTGCCGCGATGGTAGTTCTAAGGTAGGGGTAGACTGTCCGCATGCAGTGTGCCCCCCCCCCCCTTCCCGCCGGAGGCGAGGCGACCTCTTACGACTCTGAATCCTCTTTTCGGCAAAAGCGACGTTCCATGTCGTCGCATCAAGTGCCAGGCCAGGGCGACGTTGTTGTGCGAAGTCGCCCTGCAGTGACGCCACCGGAAGACCACCGGAAGTATGGCCCCCAGAATTTCTGCCCGTGCTTCTGACGGGCTGGCTGTAAATGAATATGGACCAATTATTCGCCTGCGCGAGTATTTATTTTTATTGACTTCAATCAAGTGTATTGAACAATCACTTTCAACCAGTACATACATGGAACTTTTTTGCGGCAAGTGCAGGTTAATGCGCGCCCCCAAGACAAAGTGTGAACGGCTTTCGCAACGTACGAATGTAATGTTGTGTTGTGTATGCCGATGAAAACACAAAGACAGTGTTTAATGAGAGTGTAGCAGCAGGAGAGGCACTTTGGGAGAGACCTTGCTGCTCTGGGCACAGTGAGTGCAGGCGAGTCCGACGCTAGGGAAGGGTCTCACGCCTCGCTGTGTGTGTGTGTGTGTGCGTGCGTGCGAGTGTAAGTGAGTGTGTAAGTGAGTGTGAGAGACAGAGAGAGACGGAATGGAAAGAGGAAGGGGCATAGTCAAGAAAGAAATAGTCCTTGTATCGTGTCGTCGCCTCTTTTCTGGAGGTCGTGCTGCTCTTCCGAAACAAAAGGTATCCTTTTTTACGTGCACTATTACTCCTTTGTATTCAAAATAGGAAGCGCGCGGGCAAGTGCGCCACAGCTTTTTGGGGGGGGAAGAAGCAGGATTTACTGTCATTCAACACACGGTTTATTTCAAAACGGCGAATAATTGTAGTACAAAACAAACATCATTTGCCAATTTTTGAGCCTGCTTTACGGTACGGCCCGGCCAGCCGGCGAAGCTCGCTAAAGGATGAGGGCCCATCGCGGGACGGCGAGGCGCCGGCGAAACTGATCCGCGGGGAGATAGTAGGCGACCTGGAGCGTTGGCGGGGAGCATCCCAGCCAGGAGAGTGCGCCCGCCGGTCAGCCCCAAGGCCAGCCGCCGCCGCCACCACCGCCGGACCAGCCGCCGCCGCCACCGCCGGACCAGCCGCCCCCAGACGAGATGATCCTCACGCTGCGGCCACCGCCGGACTTCCAGCCGCCTCCGCCACCGCCCCCAGATCTCCAGCCGCCGCCCCCGGAACTCCAGCCGCCGCCGCCCGACTTCCAGCCGCCTCCGCCTCCTGATCTCCAGCCGCCTCCGCCTCCGGAACTCCACCCGCCTCCACCTCCGGAACTCCAGCCGCCGCCCCCGGACTTCCAGCCGCCTCCACCTCCGGATGAGGCTGCACAAAGTGGGCACGTGACCGCTGCGGCGGCTTCTGCTGCTCGTCGTCACTCGCCGCGTGTGTGTCCGGAGGACGGTGTGCGAAAGCAAAAGAGGGGAGGTCGCACAACGTCTTTTTTAACGGC